CCTGGTGCAAGGAGGATTTATTAGACATGATTAATAAGCACAAATAATTTATCTGCTGTCGCCCAGTAGACCATGTCCCTCAGAGCTCAGCCTCGTGCACCAAGAATTGCAAATGTCCTTCAATGCCTGTTTAAATACACAGCAGCAATACCCCAGGGCTGATAATAATAGTCCTGAACCAAGCACTAAACCAGGGGAAAGCTGGTTCCAGCTGAGTGTGGTGTGGTGTCTTTGATGCAGGAAGGGAGAATAATTCCTCTTGGGTATGTACATGAATGCAGATGTGATTTGGATGGCACGAACAGGACGAACAGGACGTTTAGATATGGAAAAAAATGGAAATCTCATTATCCTGACAGTAATTCAGGACTATTACAGGGAAGCTCAGGAGCTTTAATCAGTAACACTGTATTAGCATGACAGAGTTAATGGTGATAAGGTAAAAGATACTGATTAAAGAACATTTTTCTCCACTTAAGAACTGCTACCTACTGTAGCCAAACACATCAGTGGGCCATATCCTGCCTTTGATTTGCTGAACCCTTCTCCCCAGGCCAAGGGGAGCATAGGTGGGTTTGCCTCCTGCCTTGATCTGCAAAGTCATATATATTTATATGTAGTGTCTGTTACCTTAGAAAGGTTCTTCTCTGGCTTCTTTCAAACCCCACTTTATTATCTCCATGCCATGGGGGCTGTTGTACAGGTGTAGTCCCCGTAGGAATGGGCAGGAGGAGTCAGATGTGGAGGCCCATATGGAACACAGAGCTGCTGCAGCAGGACTCTCCTGGTGCCACAGGGCTTCTAGCAGCTTCTCTGGGTGTTTAACAGCCCGTGGTTATCTCCAGCTAAAAATAAGGCCTTGGAAGAATTAGCTGGCTTCCCTGAGCAGGGAGAAGTGCTGACTTTCTGTGTCAGTTCAAAGTTATTCCTGGGGATGAATTAGCCCTTGTTCCAACCACATGTGCTGGAATGGGTTCCCTGACTCTGCTGCTGCCTCAGCAGCCAAATGCCAACGTGCATCAGGAGTCAGAGCCTCCAGGGGGAGATCTCTGACCCTGGCTGGTGGGATCAAGCTTTTGCAAAGTGTGTTTTCCTTGTGCAAAATACCTGGGGGCTTAAAATCATAGTGTTGAGATAGCTTCAAATGCAACCAGCATTTCTCCTGGTTAAATAAACTCTGAAGAACAGTCTTGTTCATTAGCAGGAAGATTTATAATGACAACAGAAGCTGCAAAAGGATATTCAGGCTGCCATCAGCAGGTTTGGTACAACCAGAAAAGGCAGGGCAGGATCTTTAAACACACAACCCATTAAACACACAGACCACAAGTGTTTTGTTCTGTGTCTATTTCAATCAGAGTAAAAATACACCAACAGATGGAACAGATTGGCTTTTAAAATATTCCATGAGATAAACAACAGCTTTGGCTAAGTCCAACTGAATGCATTTTACCTTATGAGAAGTACTCTTGGAGGTCAGGGGAAATGCTAAGGGTGGCACAAGCTGAGCTGCTTTGTAAACTTGTTCTGCAAAAAGAAGCAACATTGGTTACATAAAATCACAAAATGGTTCGGGTGGGAAGGGACCTTAAGGCTCATCTCATTCCACCCCCTGCCATGGGCAGGGACACCTTCCACTGTCCCAGGCTGCTCCAAGCCCTGTCCAGCCTGGCCTTGGGCACTGCCAGGGATCCAGGGGCAACCACAGCCTCTCTGGGCACCCTGTGCCAGGGCCTGCCCACCCTCCCAGGGAAGGATTCCTTCCTAGCAGCTGATCTACACCTACTCCCCCTTGTCCTGTCACTCCATCAGAGGGTCTGCTTCAACCCTGGAGCTATTCTCAGGCTGAAATTATAGAGAGGCTAAGCCAGAGGCTTTATGAAAGGAACAAGTTGCAACCTCTTAGTGGAAAAGGGAGTATTTTACAGTTAGTTAGAAGAGCCAAGTGTCACCTCTTTTTTATTTTAATCTTATTCCAACCCCATGATTTCCCAAAAATAGATTCACTCACCAAGAACGTCACATTCATCTTGGTTCAGCTAATGATATTTATACTTTTATATTGGATGGGATTAATTTTCCTATCCTGTTAATGCAGCATGTGATCATTAAATACCTTTACTGCACGCATAGACATATATTTTCTGTGTCAGAAAGGAAAGCAACCGGCATTTTAAATTACTGAGTGATAATTGTAGGTGGCTGTTTTCCATAGTGCTTAAGGAATTCCTTTCATTATGATAAATGGGTGTAAGGCTCCCTTTTTACACAGAATCAGTTCACAAGTGAATTTATTCGACAGTCACGGATTGTGGGTCTACTGAAGAACATTTTCCACAAAGGTGCCTGTGTTCATGTAGTGAACATGTGTAACAGCACCTTATGGAGGAGAGGCACTGAAACTTCCCAAATGATGGGTTTGGGTGCTAACACCTTGTACAGCTAATGCTGCAGCTCACATCCTGCCAAATTTCACTGAGGCTTATTTCACATCCACAGCTCAAGAAGTGCAGGGAGTGCCTAAGCAAAAAGAGATCCAATGACAAGCACAGTAAATTATTATCCTGGCATTTTAAGTAAAATGTTTTACAAAATCAATTTGCACCCATGTGCCATTAAAGTATCAACTGCAAAAGTGAATTCCAGCATGGGGAATCTGCCAAAAAGAAGAGATTTTATCCTGACAGGAGTGAAACAAACAGACATCCAATCAGGGTAGATGTTAAGAAAGCCAAGAGAAATAAGAACTCCATTCTACATAGAACTGTTTTCCAAGACATAAAAACAGTGATTAAAAATGAGACCCTGCTGCTTGTGAAACTCTAAAGCTTGAGTTAATGGCTCCAGAATGGACCAGTGCCTCCAACAACACCACCAGAGGCCCTGTAACCTCCCACAGAAAGCAAGGACAGAACTGCTGGGGTTTGAGCATGTTATCAGGCAGCACCTCCCACGTGCAGCTTGTTTCTGTGCACAGAGGTTTGTTTCCTCAGCCACAACAACACAGAAAACTTGAAAACAGAAAAACACTATTTTCCCTGTCAAACAGGAATTTCAGTTACCTTCAAAGGAAGGTGTTTAAGTTTTGCTTCACAGCAAGCTTTCCCATCTCTTCCATTCAGTGTTACACTGGTCTCTCATTCACAGGCTGTTTCAGGGAGGTTCCTAAAGCCTCCCAGTGTCTGTCCTGGGGTGGCTGCCTTAGTGGGTATGGTGGTGTGCCATCAAAGGTTGGAGACCTTGGAGGCCTTTTCCAACCATAATGATTCTGTGACTTTGTGATTCCATGGAAGGTGTGCTACCCCACACCCATCCTGAGCGCCCCAGCTGCAGTCTGGGGTCAGGGGCCATTGGTCCATCCCTGTTGCTACCAGGAAAGGTTTGGCTTTGACCACTCTGTAACCAAACACCTGCAAATACCAAGCATCCTGAAGAGGGGTAAAGCATCCCATTCACTGATTACTTTTGAGTTTGAGTGGATTCTCCATGTACACATGAAGAAAAAATGGTTTACATAGCTTTCTGCATTCAGCACAGGACTCACAGTCATTCCCAAAGCAGGACACGGCAACACCATTTCTCCACCCCCACTGTGTCCAGATACATGCCCCAAGCACTGTTACACAGCCCTTTCCAACCTTGTAAAGAAGAGTAAATTACCTTAATGAATGGTGAAGCCAGCCCACAACTCCCTTTTCCTTTTTCCATGTTCACAGTGTTACTGACACGCACTGATTTGGAGGGGCAAGCAGACAAAAGTTTTTAATTTGTTACTCCAGTCCTCAGTGGGGATGTTAAGGATTTTCCAGACAAAAGACTAAGACTCAGCTAGCCCCAGCTGAATGACTCTTTCTGTTCAATTGCTTTGTGTGGTGTAACTGCTAACAGTGCTAAAAGAAAGAGCCTGATGACTGATGTGCTGCTTCATTCCCGTTATTGGAATCTGTGCTCTGAAACACAGGATCAGCTAAGCCCTTGGCAGAGCTGGGAGCACAAGAAATTTCCTCTGCAAAGCTGTTTGCCACCAGCCTCAGCCTGGCTTTGGGTGGGGCAAAACCTTTCCAAAAGTATAAATGGATGATGTGTTTTGTTTGCAACCCGCACTGCCTGGGCAGCATAAAAACTGTGCGATATATAAGAGCCAAAACCAGAGTGTGAGTGCAGGGAACAGATTTCAGTGTGAGAGTTACCAAAGGGTGCCCTCAGTAACTTCAGAGACAGCCCCAGGCTGGCTGGAGTGTGGCAGTGCAGGAGGGCAGCAGCTCTGCAGAGGGACCAGGACAGGCTGGATCCATGGGCTGAGTTCAGCCAGTGCCAGGTCCTGCCCTGGGCTCAGCCCCGGCCCTGCAGCTCCAGGCTGGGCAGAGGGGCTGGAAAGGGCCCGTCGGGAAAGGCCCTGGGGGGCTGTGCCAGGGCTGGGCAGGAGCCCAGGGGTGCCCAGGGGGGCACGAGGCCAATGGCCCCGGGCTGTGCCAGCCATGGGGTGGCCACAGGCCAGGGCAGGGTCTGTGCCCTGGGCTGGCCCTGCTGAGGGACCCCAGGGCTGTGCCCAGTTCTGGGCCCTGGAGGGGCTGGAGCGTGGCCAGGGAAGGGAAGGGAGCTGGGGAAGGGGCTGGAGCCCCAGGAGCGGCTGAGGGAGCTGGGAAGGGGCTCAGCCTGGAGAAAAGGAGGCTCAGGGGGGACCTTGTGGCTCTGCACAGCTCCTGCCAGGAGGGGACAGCCAGGGCGGGTCGGGCTCTGCTGCCAGGGAACAGGGACAGGACAAGGGGAAACGGCCTCAAGCTGTGCCAGGGGAGGCTCAGCTTGGACAGCAGCAGGAATTTCTCCATGGAAAGGGTGCTCAGGCCTTGGCAGGGCTGCCCAGGGAGCTTTGGAGGTGTCCCAGGAAGGGCTGGAGGTGGCACTCAGTGCTCTGGGCTGGGGACAAGGGGGGCACTGGGCACAGCTGGGACTCCATAGGCTGGCAGGGATTTTCCAGCCTCAGTGACACTGAAATTCTGTGATTCTATGATTGTATGACAAGTGGTATGGACTCCCCTTGCTCCCATAACTATGAGGTACTTTTGGCATGGCTGCAGCCAACAAGCACCTGTCTTCATTCTAATGCTGAAGGGACTGGGAGTTCACTCTCAATATTTGCTTCTCCTCTTGTATGAGTATATTGGCAAGTACAGTAATTTCCTTTGCTTCCTAATGCCTCACCTTCTCTCAAGTCCAAAGGAGATGAAAACTAAATTTCATAAAACAGGACAGTGAAGAGCAGCCAGAGAAACAAAGAGAGCAGCAGGGAGTTGTTACATCCTGAGGAAAAAATAAAGTGACAAAAGTTAACTCATCCAGATGCGAAAAAAAATTTCAACCATATTTAAATTGCCTCCAAACTTCTTGAAATAATTCCCTATAAACCAGATTTTTACAACGAGACAGAAGTTAGCATGGCCTTCACTCTTCTAAGGGTAAAGGAGGGTGATCAACATTTTTTAACAGAAAATAAAAATTCTGAAAAGGAATAGAAAACATAGAAGGAATTGAAAATTAGTATCACAATTTACTGCCTTAGAATTAGGAGAAATGTTACCAGACAACGTTTTGTTTCCTGAATCTATTAAAAACCTGCCTTGGTCATGACGAAAATTTGTCTTAGATGACTGGTAATTTTAGAAAACTGCTGACCAGCTGTGACTGTACATCTGCTGAATAAGTTGGCAAACTGCCCCTGTTTCCAGTCCTTCATCCTGAATGATTTAATAAGATGTGGCTTTGAATGCAGCGTGATACAGTTGGATTAGTTTCATGCCAACTCCTGACACTGAAATTTTCTGAAGCTCTTTCAGAGCTTTTCCAGCCCTGTTTTCCTGCAGGGATGGATGGCACTGGTCAGGGGAAGTCACACTATTGTGGTTACTATAACAGCCCTTTTGTCTTGGGCAAGAGCTGGGTTGTAAAAGAGCGCTGCAGGCTGGAATCTCTGGCTGGAAGCAGAGCAGAAGAATAGGGAACACGATGGAAACATCCCATCTCACCAAGCACCTCCTTCCTCTCACCGAGATTGCTGAATTCATCTGAGGTCAGCTGGGTCATTTACTGCTGGAAGACTGCTCCCAAAATGTCCTTTTCCAGCAGAAAGTCCTCCTGATGTCCCATCCATGTTCACTCATGGATGCTTCTTTGGGTGCCCTCTCAGAAGCTGTGCACCACCAGCAGTGTTTCCCTGCAGCCCTGCCTGTGGGTGGCTGTGGCTGTGGCCACCCACAGTGGGGAGTGTTAATCTCTCCCTGTGTCCTGGTAATGTCACTTCTGACCTGCCTCAAACTCCTGCTTGCCGTTAGGTGGCCATGCCACACCGGGCTCCCAGCTGCCTGGAGATCTGCTGATCTGTTCAAGCCTTTCTCTTCTTTGTCCTTCTGAGCTTTGGAGTTTGCAGCAGAAATCCATGCTTGCTGCAAGAATTTCTCACTGTTAAACTCCATCCTATCTCTGACTTGCTCTCTATGCTGGGGCAATGTCAAGCTTTGTGCTGTCAGCAAACTTCAATACCATGGTCTTCTTTGGGCAATCCAAGCCCAAACCCTGTCTGACAGAACCATACCAAAAAGAATGGCATTGGATTCAGTCATTCATTAATTAACTGCTCTTCTATTCTTTATAGAATTACAGAATAATTGAGGTGAGAAAATCCCTCCCAGCCCATGGAGTCCCAGTTGTGCCCAGTGCCCACCTTGTCCCCAGCCCAGAGCACTGAGTGCCACCTCCAGCCCTTCCTTGGGCACACCCAGGGATGGGCACTCCAAAGCTCCCTGGGCAGCCCCTGCCAAGGCCTGAGCACCCTTTCCATGGAGAAATTCCTGCTGCTGTCCAAGCTGAGCCTCCCCTGGCACATCTTGAGGCCATTTCCCCTTGTTCTGTCCAGTTCTTACTGAATAGTCCCTTGCCTTTAGCATGCCTGAATATTTGAGCTTTCTTCATGCCTGTATTTTGGTGAAAATACAACCGAGAAATTAACCTTTCCATATACAGAGCACAGGTCCACATAGTTTCTGTAGTTTCTGTCCCCCTCTTACTTATGCGGAAAAATGAACTCTTATTTAAATTTACTTTTATCCTTGGAAAACCCAGTTTGGCTGGCTTTTGAGGCTTTCTGAGAGTATCTCTGTGTTTTGAATCTCCAAGCTGTCCCACAGCCTGACTGTTTTGCTTCATGGGGTCATGCTGCTCCAGAACTGGAAGGGCCTGCCATGCTCCAGAAAGGCAACCCCACAATTATGGGGTGGCCATGCTAACGACATTGCCCACACAGGGTGAAGCCACACTGCAAGACCAGAAACTCTGCTTGCAAAGGGGTCAAACCACTTAGGATCCCCAGAGGTTTCTGTGTTTTCTGGGAGAACAGGCTGTGTCACACACATTTAAATGGTGCCATGCCAGAGGGGAGAGCATGTGGAGCGCTCTCTCTCCATCAGGACAGTGTAGATGAGATCTGAATTCAGCCCTTTGTGCAGACAGCAGTAATGATGTGTGTCATTCCTTTTCCACTTCTCCCATTGCTAACCAAAATGTGGCATCAGCTATGGAAAAAACCCATTGTTTTCCTTGTGAGGATAAATTGCTCCCTACTAACACACATAGAAGGCAAAGGACTGCCCAGAAGAGCAGAAAGTGCCTCTGGAGGGCCCACACTCCAAAAGGAGCAGCAGGGACCTGGCAGTGCCCCCAGATCAAAGAGGTTTGGCACCCAGGGTACAAAAGTGTGTCCCCAAATCAAGCATCACTCTGTTGACGTGGTTTTGCACTGATGAGCTGAGATGTGATGCCAACTGACAGAGAATCAAGAGCCTGCATTTCTGGATGCTTCCATCCCATCCAGCAGCAGCAACAACGCAGCACTGCCTACTCAGCACAAGCAGCAGCTGCTGCATGTGAGCCAGGGAATTTCAGGGGGAAGAGGAACACCCTCCTCGTGGGAGGCAAGGTGCATGAGGAACTCCCAGAGGGAAGGTGCTGTCACATCACCTCCCAGTGTGAAGGTGTGACCCAAAAGCAGACTGAGTTGCTCCAAGCCCACGCCCTCCACCTCCTCTGAGTCTCCACCACAGCCCTTCACCTTCCTGCCTCTCTTTAGGCCAGATCAGACTCCCATCAGTTCATCTCTGCCTGGCCCCACTCCTCATGCCCAGGGCCAGGGCAGGGACACACGCAGGGGGATCTGCTCACCTGGGCTGCTGTGTGTGCCTTGGCTGAGCCGAGCCACTGTTCCATGTCTGCAGGGCTCATCCACTTGAGAACGATAAAGCTGGGGTGTCTGGAGGATGCAGTGCCTCGTTAGCTTTGCTTTCTGCCCTCACGTTGGAATTTGCTTGTTTAGGGAGAATAACTAAAACCAAATTAATTGAGGACATTCAGCTCTGGGCCACCTGGGTTTGAGGAGAAAAGAAAAAGGACTCTGTGTGATTTCATGTGAATCAGGCAAAAGCTGTTTATTGTGCTTCTATACATTGTTTATATTTACTTTTTACCTTGGTCTACAAAATCACACATTGATAGGTAGTTCTGCTTTGTCCATGTATCTCTTGATTGGTAGCTCTATTTTGTCTACAATGTAAGCACACATCTTTTTCTTAATCTAATTAGTAGTTGCTGTAAGTGTTATTTTATTTGGGTTGATACTTCTATGTCTGTTAGCAACTTTTCTGCTTTTTCTTCTTGTAACAGTTTTTTATCTATAAAGATGAATACAGTTTTGTAACAAAGATGACTTAAGTTTTTATTTTTAGAAGGTTAGGCTGGTTCATTCAGTACAAGTCTATTTTCTCGTAAATATGATTTTACAAGGGTTAATGCAGACCTTGGTTGGGAGGTGACACCCAGGGTGTCCCCACAGCACTCCCATGTGTCTGACTTCCCTGCAGCCTCGGCTCTGTGAGGCTCAAAGGCTGACAACAACTCACAACAGCAAGTGCTGGTGCTGCCCCTGGCTCAGGGAAACTCCCAGATCAATGCAGGGGATGAGCAGCTGGAGCAGCCCTGGAGAAGGACCTGGGGGTGCTGGGGGGTGAGAGCTGGGCCCCAGAACCCCCCCTGGGTTCTGTCTGGGCTGAGCCCCAGCGTGGGCAGCAGGGGAGGGGGGGATTCTGCCCCTGTGCTCAGGTGAGACCCCACCTGCAGAGCTGCCCCAGCACAGGAGGGACCTGGAGCTGCTGGAGAGAGCCCAGGGCAGGCACCAGGATGGGCAGAGGGATGGAGCAGCTCTGCTGGGAGGAAAGGCTGCACAGCTGGGATTGTTCAGCCTGGAGAGCAGAAGCTCTGGGGTGACCAAATCGTGGCCTTGCAGGGCCTGAAGGAGCCGACAAGAAAGATGGAGAGAGACTCTGCACCAAAAGGATGGAGTGACAAGGGGGGAATGGCTTCCAACTGCCAGAGGGCAGGGATGGATGAGATATTGGGAAGGAATTGTTCCCTAGGAGGGTGGGCAGGCCCTGGCACAGGGTGCCCAGAGCAGCTGTGGCTGCCCCTGGATTGCTGGAAGTGTCCAAGGCCAGGTTGGACAGGGTTTGGAGCAGCCTGGGACAGTGGAAGGTGTCCCTGCCTGTAGCAGGGGTTTGGAACTGGATGATCTTTTAGGTCCCTTCTAACCCAAATAATTCTGTGATTTTATGATTATTTCCTCTCCTAAAACCATGGTCACTCGTCAGATAATAAGGAATGGTTGCAGACAGCAGGAAGAGATTCCTGCTTAGAGATCTGTTTCTTGACAGTGAAGGAATGAAGTTGCATGAGAAGGAAAGCAGAACGTAGAATTAGGGGCTGACACTTTTCCTCCCTGGATCATGTAATTAATATCTTTGTGTTTAAAAGCATTACACAGAGAGCTGAAACCATGCCTCACTTGTACAGGTGCATGCAGTGAGTTCTGTACTATGGGAATTACCCCAGTGCTCAGACTGGCAATGGGAGTATTTTCTTCATTCCTGTAAAGACCAGCTAATGGCACACTCAGCTGGGGACACAGGAAAATTTGGGTTCCCTCTCCTTTCACTGCTAAAGAAATACACTTCCATTAATGGCAATTACAGGCCAGCAGAGCAGTGAGGAGCAGAAGGGTTTATAAGAATAAAGGTGTTTTCAGAAGAGGTTGGTACATTACCTTTCTCAGTTGCATTTTGAATAGAGCTTGGTTTGGAAATGAATGCACCTCTACAGAAAATCCATACATGAAGCAGAAACAAGGAAATTATTCAGGACAGGACTATTTGATTCACTGAAAGAGAACAAAAAACAAAAAATGCTGCTGTGAAATGTGAGTCATGAACTAACCACCTTCAGCATCACCAGAACTGAAGACGGAAAGAAAAAAAAAAAAAAAAAAAAAAAAGGGAAAACAGAAGAGACAACAACCTGACAATGTTGCATTTGGAACAGGCATGTCTGTAAATGGTTTTGGCCTCCAACTTAGATGTAAAGAAGACATAAAGACTAAAAAAAGAACATCACAATAATTGTGGAAGGTGAAAATGGCTGATGTAGCTGTTGTGTAAATGCTTTGTCCAGAGTTTTGGGATATGAACTACAGTTGTTGTGACTCCTCGTAGAATGATATCTTCTTGATAAGATTTTTCCCTGTCCTTTTAGAAAATATCCTCTGAAACCATTCAAAATACATATCTGAACGATTTCATGGGATAGAATAGGATGTGGTGATTTAATGTGATGTGAGAGGAGCAAGAAAGGGATCCCATGTCAGGTAACTGCCTGCCCTTGACAACTCAGAACACAGAAATCCCTTTGTGGAACGGAAACTGGGATCACAAGCCAGTTTTTATTTAATTACCTTTTAACTTCGCATTTACAGTCTCTAACAGAAAACTTTTTGAGTTCAGTTTTTCTCCCTCACACAGAGCAGCTCACAAGCACACCATAATATGCAAAATATCATATGTAATGTGCAAAATCCTTTTCCTACTAAAACCAACTATAGATTCCTCAGAGTGAATAATTAATGCAGAAGATGGAAAGGGTATTTTTCTCAGTATTTATAAAATACCCTCAATAGGTTTCAAAGCAACACTGTATGTAGTCTGATGCTGGTTTGTTATAAAACATGATATGCTAGAAGTGATTTGTGGGAGATATGTCTAATACAAACTAAATGAGACAGGAAAGGGCCAAACAGCCCTGCACAGAGTCACTGGGTGACAGCTGAGTCACACTGCCCTGCTCTAACAGAGAGCCCATAACTTTGCCCAGAAGCTTTAAGCCACTTACTTATTCCCATATTTTCTTCTCCCTTTCTCTTTCACCATTGCCAGGCTTTCCCAACCCTGTTAGAGCCTTAGCACACTCTTGAATTAACACTTTCTTTTGCACGTTGAAGAGGTAGAAGACAGGTGAGGTACATAATTTCCAACAGAATTTCACTAGTGGACTAAATAGATCATGAAGATTTATTTATTCACTGAAAATTCTCAGCTGCAGAAGCAATAGCCTGAATATGCAGGCAGGGAGTCAAGTTTGACTCTGAATAAAACACAGGTCTCCCCAGGATGTGCTGTGGGCCAAAAGCTCAGATAACTGTTTCCTTAGCTCCAAGCTGGTATCTATTCAGTAGTGAGGGTTTGGCTGAAAATGGGCATAATCAGCATGGGGATGTTTTGCTTATGCTTTTGCCCAGACTGTTTTATAACCTGATGTGTCACCACTGCGCTGCTCAGGCTTTTCCACAGGATGCCTCTTTTTATTCTTTGCTTTTCTAAGCCTCTCTAAGCTCTTCTGGATAGGTCATTACAATGCCATCATTCCATGCTGCCAGCAGTGCCAGCAGGATGTGACTGAGTGTCTGCAGGGAGGGGCAGAGCAGGGCCCAGGCTCTGCTCCGGGGCCCAGCAATGGCACCAGAGCCACGGGCAGGGCCTGAGCCCAGCAATTCCCCCTGCACAGGAGGCACAACTTCTTCCCTGGGCAGTGCCAGCCCTGAGCACATTGTGCACAGAGCCTGGGGGCTCTCCTCCCTGGGGCTGGGGCAGAGCTGTGTGCACACAATGCTGTGCCCTGGGCTCTGGGATGGCCCTGCTGGAGCAGGGAGGTGCCACCAGCTGCCCACTCGGCTCCTCAGCCTCACCCACCCTGGGATGCTGTGTTATAACCAATACTGGTGGCTCTCTGGACACAGCTCCCAGCTGGAAGCATCCCTGGCTGCAGACTTCATGCTCCCGCTTGTTTTTACACAGCTGCTTATTCCTACCTGCTCTTGCTGGGAACTAAAAAAGCAAGTTAAAAGGAACTGGACTCCTCTGAGGAGATGCAGGGGAGTCTTTATCATGCCATAATTTCCTGACAGCATGGTCCAGCCTGGGGGGCATCAGGGACTGCTGCCAGGGAACAGGGACAGGACAGGGGAAACAGCCTCAAGCTGTGCCAGGGGAGGCTCAGCTTGGACAGCAGCAGGAATTTCTCCATGGAAAGGGTGCTCAGGCCTTGGCAGGGGCTGCCCAGGGAGCTTTGGGGTGCCCATCCCTGGAGGTGTCCCAGGAAGGGCTGGATGTGGCACTCAGTGCTCTGGGCTGGGGACAAGGTGGGCACTGGGCACAGCTGGGACTCCATGGGCTGGGAACACTTTTCTCACCTCAATGACCCTGGGATTCTGTGGTGATCTATGTATGTCCCTTCCAACTCAAGAGAATCTATGATTCTATGGAAAACCCATATGCCCCACGCTGCTGACCCCTGCAGCAGCCACCTCCAATCCCCTCACAGCATCACTACTTCACCTTGAGTGCCATCCAGCTGGTTTTTAGTAAAAAAAGAGCCAAAAATACCTGTGAAAGATCCTTCTTGGCTTTGGTCGCTCATGTTGGATGAGAAAGCGAATTTTGAGGGGAGATGCAGTCCCCAGCAGTGTTCCTGGTTTGAGATGAATTTCTGCCATGAAGAAGCAACAAAGAGAAGATTGCACTAACTTTTTTAAAATCTATCTACGCCAGAGCTTCTCTAATGATGGAGATATTCACATAATAACTGAAGTTTTCACAGATCTCTGAGAAACAGATACAGCTTTTAAGTTTACTTCCACATCCTCACTTGCCCCATTCCCAGCACAGCCTAGGTCCAGGGTTTTGACTGAAATGGTCTTAATATTTAGCTAATTTAAATGCTAATTAGACTACTGTGATGAATAAAACAAGCTAGGGATTTGTTAGCAAGTTTCTGCTGCTGCTTTATGTCAACAGATAAGATTCTCTGGAAAAGGAGTCCAAGGGGCAGCAGCACATTCTGTTACCAGTTGAACAAAGTGAATTTTTGCTAATAGTAAACCTTAGAGAACTGCAGAGAAGAAAGAGGAGCAATTTTAATTTTTTCAGAACTAGCACATCTTGGACACTTGACCACCAAGAAGAAGGTTAGGCTGTCCTGAGCCCATCTGCTTTGCAGGGTTTGCTCTGACTTTCATACACAGAGAAAGACAATGTACCTCATCTCTGTTTCCCTACTGCACTCGATCCAGTTGTTCTGCCTGCACAGAGGAATTAAACCATTCCTCTCGTGTCTATGCATCGACTTTTTTGTTTTTACTGAGCTCCGTGAAGTGAAGTGCAGATCCACAGAGGCAAAGCAGATGCAAAAATCGGTACGAGTGTCCCGGGTGGGGCGGGCGAAGCCGTGAGGGGACGCGAGAAGCCGAGAGGGGTCGGGTGAGGCCGGGATGGAGCGGGCGATGCCGTGAGGAGCTGTGCTGAGCCGAGCGGAGCCGTGAGGGGGCGGATGGAGCGGTGAGGGGGGAACGGAGCCGGGACAGCGCGGATGAATCGGTGAGGGGGGAACGGAGCCGGCACAGTGCAGATGAAGCGGCCACGGGCCGAGCGGAGCCGTGAGGGGCCGGGCGGAGCCGTGAGGGGCCGGGCCGGGCGGGGCGGGGCGGGGCGGTCCCTGGGGCGGCTGAAGCCGTGAAGAGGCGGCCCCGCTCCGCCTCTTCCTGCGGCAGCCGCGCAGTTGCAGCCATGGCGCCTCGCCGGGAAGCCGGTCTGCTGCTTCTCCTCCTCGTCCTGCCGCTGGCCAGCGCGGAGCTGAGCGACTACTTCGGCACCAAGTCCCGCTACGAGGAGGTGAACCCGTACCTGGTGAGCGACCCGCTGTCGCTGGGGCCCGAGGCGGGCGGCTCGCTGCCCGCCTCCTGCACTCCGCTGCAGCTCCGCGCCGTGCTCCGGCACGGCACCCGCTACCCCACGGCCGGGCAGATCCGCCGGCTGGGCGAGCTGCACACCCGGCTGCTCCGCCATGCCGCGGCAGCCGCCGCCTGCCCCGCCGCCGTCGCCCTGGCCGACTGGCCCATGTGGTACGAGGAGAGCATGGACGGGCAGCTGGCGCCGCAGGGCCGGCTCGACATGGAGCAGCTGGCCCGGCGCATGGCCGCCCGCTTCCCCGCGCTCTTCGCCGCCCGCCGCCGCCTGGAGCTGGCCAGCAGCTCCAAGCACCGCTGCCTGCAGAGCGGGGCCGCTTTCCGCCAGGGGCTCGGGCCCACCCTCGACTTCGGCGGTGACGGTGAGTGTGCGACACCCATCCCTTTCCCTGGGGGAGCCCCTGGCTTATCCTGGCGGGCTGAGGGATTCCCAGCTGTCCCAAGGGGATGGGGGACTCCCGTGCCTTCCTGAGGGCCTCTCTGGGCACCTGCTCCTTGAGGGGGTGAGGGAGATCTGTGCCCGGAGTGAATGACTCCCGTGTCCTCCCCGAGGGACTGGGACAGCCCCTGGGATTCCAAGCACCGCTGAAGGGGATGGGGATCCCTCACACCCTCCCTGCGGGAGCTCCATCCCTCTCCTGAGGGATCCCTGAGTGCTGGGGGAGCCTCGATCCAGCCGAGGGAGCACTGTGACCTCGCTGAGGGGCTGGGGGCTCCTGATGCCTTCATGGGTGACTGGAAGAGTCTCTCCCTGAGGGAGCTGCCAGAGGCATTGGGGATGTACCTCCCTGCTCTCCCTGTGGTTGAGGGCCACCCCGCACCCCCTCCGTGGGACACGGCTGTGGTGGCTGACGTGTCCCTTGGAGGCTGGCATGGTGGCCACGTGCTGGGGCCCTTGGGGATGGAGGTGCTCTGCTTGAGGCCCACGTTTGCTTTCAGAGGTGGAGATTGAAGTTAACGACTTCCTGATGCGGTTCTTTGATCACTGCGCCAAGTTTGTAGCCATGGTGGAGGAGAACGACAAGGCCATGTGCCAGGTGACCGCCTTCAAAGAGGGGCCTGAGATGAAGAAGGTTCTGGAGAAGGTGGCCAGTGCCTTGTGTTTGCCAGTGGAGGAGCTAAATGCAGGTAAGGAACTCCTGTTAGAGGTGGCTTCGGCTCCAGGGCTGGCCAAGAACAACTTCCAAGACATATAGTTATGCAGAGTAGGTAATTTCATGTGGCTGTGACTTGGAGATGCAGTTTCTAATTAAGTACACGAGACTGTAAGTCTGTGTTAGTGTTGCAGTAATGAATGATTGTTGGACCATGGTCAGAAGAAAAAGAGATTTGAAAACATGTTTGTTGTAGATGAAACCAGCTTTACCTGGTTTTGGAGGGATTTGAATGTTTTAATTTTGCTTTTGTGAAACCCATTACAACTCAAGCACATAAATGACCTGAAGAAAAGCAGCCCTGTGTGTTAACTCACCTGTCTAGAACAGAAGTGCTGGGCTTTCTTGTGTGGTCAAGTGGTGAGAAAAGCTCCCCAAAATAAGTGTTGCTGTTGGGATTGCAGCATCAGGGACCTGCTGGAAACAAAGTTCACCCTGGTGCTGCTTGTACACAGCTCCTGATGTAGAGGGGGAGTTGCCCAAGAGGTCACATCTTCCCTTTATTGACTTCTGACCTGTGTGGCTGCACCAGCAGGTGGACAGCATTTAAAGTGAAATGCTCTTGCTTTCCTCTTATAATGATGTAATGTGAAGAGCTTGCAGTCCAAAATTTGGATTTTGCACAATAATTCTGTTAAACTGTGTATTTTTGGTGCTTGCTCTTTGTCCTGCCAAATATTTATTTTATTTCATTGTTTGTATTGCCAAACAGTAATTGCAATTCATTTCAGAGGTAAAGTGAGGAGAGGAAGTTGCTGCTTGGGTAGCAGTGGTTTATCTCTTGCTTGGGTAGCAGTGGTTTATCTCTTGCTTGCTTGTTGGCTTTATTGCAGATCTTGTTCAAGTGGCTTTTCTCACCTGCTCATACGAGCTGGCCATAAAAAATGTGACCTCCCCATGGTGTTCACTCTTCAGTGAAGAAGATGCCAAGGTATGTGAGACTTGGAGCAACCTGCTCTAGTGGAAATTGTTCCTGCCTGTGGCAGAGGGTTTGGAATGAGGTGATCTTAAATGGCCTTCCATCCCAAACCATTCTCTAATGTGTGGTTTTCATGTGGTACAATCATGTGATAAAATTCACTCCAGGGTACATCAAATGAGGTCTTCCAGGGCCTCTAAGCCTCTGTTTGGTTTTGAGCACTATCAGCTCTCTAAACCAAATAAATGCCTACTGACAGAACCCAGATAAATGAGACAAATGTTTGTTCCTCTTCTTTCAAAATTGTTTGATGTAACTTTTGATGTTCAGTACGGCTCTTAAGGAAATCTGCACCCCTGGGAAAAGAGGAGACCTTTGCATAGGTGGGTGTTTGGCTAAAGGGTGGGCAGTTAGGGGCAAATGATCTCCTGTCTGAGAGCATCAGGCTCACCATGGGCTTCTGCTGAGACCTGCCCTGTTCAGTCTAGTTATTTATAACCCAGCAGGGAGGTGGGAAATGACTTGGATGCCAGGAATTGTCAGGAAAGGAACAGAACGAGGAGAGCACAGTGTGCTCTTGAATAATTCCAAGGCACAGTTCTGTCTACTTGAGATGTGTGCATGTCTCTGGAACGTGTAAACAGACACAAAACAAGCTGGGCTAAAGGTGTGGGATGGATTCTATGAGAAGAATGATGAGCCAAAGGCAAAATGAGAAGTGCTAAAAAAGCAGTGGATAGTGGTTGTCTCGTGATGTGCAGTACTTCAGTTTTTTTTGGTGATTGTTACCAGATGCTGAATTTGGTCACTCTTTGGTCTGATCTGTAGTCTGGCTTTAGGCTGCAGTGGTTTCAACTGGAGCCCTGATGTTTGGGGTCGTGTTTGTGTCATTGCTCCAGGCTGTGAGCTTTTTGTTTTCCCTTGGTGCAGTAATAAAAAACTGAGCTCTAACTTTAGGTGCTGGAATACCTGAACGACCTGAAGCAATACTGGAAGAGAGGATATGGCTATGACATCAACAGGCGCTCCAGCTGTGTTTTATTCCAAGATATCTTCCAGCACTTGGACAAAGCAGTGGAGGAGAGCAAAAGGTAAATCAAGAGTCTTCAGTGCTTTGGGTGTGAGCTTTGTGTGCTCAATCCTGAGCTGGATTTCATGTGAAAAGAAGTTCAGTACTGTACTTCTGAATGTGGCAACATCAGGAGAGCTGGAGCTAGGAGAGTTTTAACAGTGAGAGTACAATTTTTACTGGAGCAGTGTTACTTTGAAGAGTATATATTTTTTTTTTACTTTTGTGCTCAGCTAAAGTATTTCCATCTTTTAACTTGCTGATCCACACAGGCCTTCAGAGGACAGCCAGCTGCTGTCTGATAGTAGTATTTTCTTACTGCAGTTTGAGGAGATACGGAGTTAAAATACTCCAGCTTTTATAATATAGCTTTTTTATTAAAAATAATTTATTGCTTAAATGCTAATTTGCAGTCTGTGTTTATGTTCTTATGTAAACTGAACAATTAGAAGTTCATGGTTAATAATCAGTCACATCAATTAATACTTTAGCAGATTAGTATGGAAATTTTATAGAAGTACAGGATATCAAGGATAGGGCCATAAGATTGTATAATGAAAGGAGAGTGATCAATTCTGTTCCCTTTTAGTGTCATTTCCTCCTTGAGCAGTGAGAGCCTTTCAATCCTTACATTACACACACTAGTTGCAGCTGTGTGTCTCTCTGGTATATAAAACATCCCTGTAAGTTTAATAATAACAACAATTTTTAAAAACCCAAGAGCTGTAGTTGGAAGAAACAGATGGAGATTTCTGATCGATTTGGAGCTGAATCAGCAGTTGCTGAACTGGGAGGTGGGAAGGCAGAGCTCCCCAGCACCGTGGTAACTTTGTTTTTCAGCATTGGCTGTGGAAGTACAGTTGCACCACCTGGGGCTCTCGTGTTGTTTTGCCATCACAGAGGGAAGCAGGCAGTGAGTGTAAAGGATCAGGACCCTAAATCTTGTAAAGTTCCAAGCTGGGTGAGCAGCCTTCAGGATGAGCCTCATCCTAAGCAGAAACGGGAAAGCCGAGTGCCACAGGAGTGTGTGACTCCCTTCCTCAACAGAAGGTGGCACTCGTAAAGCACTGGAGACCTGGGAATAAACTGCGCTGGGTGACCCTGGAGAGGATGTGGGAATCTACCAGGGCCGGCTTGTCTCTTGGAATCTGGGCAGCAGAGATGCACCTGATCCTATTTCATCTACGGAGTGAGATTTATCTCTTTTTCATCTATGGAGAGAGACACCCTCTGGCAGAGTAAGAGTAGAAAGAAAACAAGAAAACATACAAATTAATAGATACATAAACCTTTCTTTTTATGGACTTCAAGGCAGCAGGTTAAACATTTTAGCAGCATTTTCAGAAAATGAACTTTTGTGATGATTAAATGTTGTTCAGTGGAATGTTTAAATTTAACAATGTTTAACATTGATTTATAACTGTCTGCTTGCTCTAAAAATTTAAGAATAAGACATTACTCTAAAAATTTAAG